CCTTCCCTCAGCCAGGGCATTGAAAATGGGTCGTGGATGGGTATTCCAGCATGACAATGACCCAAAACACACGGCCAAGGCAACAAAGGAGTGGCTCAAGAAGAAGCACATTAAGGTCCTGGAGTGGCCTAGCCAGTCTCCAGACCTTAATCCCATAGAAAATCTGTGGAGGGAGATGAAGGTTCGAGTTGCCAAACGTCAGCCTCGAAACCTTAATGACTTGGAGAAGATCTGCAAAGAGGAGTGGGACAAAATCTCTCCTGAGTTGTGTGCAAACCTGGTGGCCAACTACAAGAAACGTCTGACCTCTGTGATTGCGAACAAGGGTTTGCCACCAAGTACTAAGTCATGTTTTGCAGAGGGGTCAAATACTTATTTCCCTCATTAAAATGCAAATCAATTTATAACATTTTTGACATGCGTTTTTCTGGATTTTTTTGTTGTTATACTGTCTCTCACTGTTTAAATAAACCTACCATTAAAATTATAGACTGATCATTTCTTTGTCAGTGGGCAAACGTACAAAATCAGCAGGGGATCAAATACTTTTTTCCCTCACTGTATAAACATGTCATAATTGGCCGCATAACTGGCTCTGAGGCTGTGGACTCTTATCGGTGTAACAATGACTTTTGAACCAACGTCATGAAAACTAGAGGTCAAATCATGTGCACAGACCAGTATACCGTCTCTGGTACAACATGGCAGTTATTGGGAAGATATAACTAACCGAGAACCCAGGTAAAGTCTCTCAAATCAGCTAGCCGTCTTATGATTATGTTATGAAATTAGAACGAGGCAAGTATAACTCTTGCATTTTCTTTTCTTTAAATAATTCACAAATGTACACTGGTTAGGCAACCATCAATATTAATCTACACCCATTTGTTATATTAACAGTATTAATGTTGAAAATGACACATTTTGTAAATCTAAACTAGTGGTCAGAAACAACCTAATCAACCCCCGGGGTGTTAGTGTTACTTTATTGATGAGTGGAACTGTGACACTGACTCAACAACCTTCGTTAGGCACGCAGCCCCATGATACAACTCAATCATCACTCAGCAACTCTTACAACAGAGAACCCTATTATCCCTTCTGTAAGACTCATAACAATAATGAACATTCTCTAATTCTCAAGAAAAATGTGCAAGGCACCGTTTTAACCAATAGGGCAGTTCAACCAGTCCTACCATGAGGCTAAACAGGGGCGGCAGGTAGCTTAGTGGTTAAGAGCGTTGTGCCAGTAACCGAAACGTCGCTGGTTCTAATCCCCGAGCCGACTAGGTGAAAAATCTGTTGATGTGCCCTTGAGCAAGGCACTTAACCCTAATTGCTCTTGTAAGTCGCTCTGGATAAGAGCGTCTGCTAAATGACGTAAAATAAGTCAAGTGCTAGTCAGTTGAGCTGTGTGTGGGAATGCTACTACCTGTGAATGACCTGGAAGAGCTTATTATGACAAAGCAATTGATTTAAAATCAGTTATGTGATGATTGGTTTGTTGTGCCGCCCTTCTATTTTGACACAGAAACATATGTTAGGAGGAGAGCAGTACAAAGTATTGTTGTCCTTCTGCTCTAGTGATTGATGCTCCTCTCTCGTCAGCCCCTAGTCTGTGTTTCAAATGAACTGGCTGTTCTGAGATCACATGATCGAGCACTGCTCTGCAGCTCCAGTCCCAGAGGCTCCTGGGAGATTCAGGGATTCCAGGTCAAAGTTTAGGCCAGGTGGCTGATGGGGGAAAACAGATAGGGGGTTTAATTTAACATTACTATACAGCTGCACTAACAAAGAAAGAGAGAGGAGAAACATACCGATTCACCAGCCAGCTCTTTCGGTGGTTGGCCCAGGTCTTGTAGCTGAAAATTCAGATAATAACTCATAATCAATATCCATGCACAGGAAACCATCAGTATGGACAACCAACAGTTCATGCAAGTTTGTCTCACCTGCTGCATGAGTTCCAGAATGCTCTCAAAGCTATTCTCCA